CCGATCGCAGCTTCCCACCCAAAACTCGTTAACTCAACTCGTCCCGCCCTGCCGACTCCATCTGTGCCCATCGGACAGCCATCCTCACACAATTGAGGATTGCACGACAAGATGAAGACAATCAGAAACTACCAAATGACCCCCCGATGACTAACACTACTCAGAAGTGCCATTTGGACTCAAAAAGAGAACTACTCAGGCTCATGATCTCTTATATAAATTTAATCCTCATCATAAGAACTTGAATCGTCGTAAAACGGGCCATTCGGCCATAGCGAGATCGATCTGATGAGCATGAGTACGCGTGCACAAGCACGCAGCATGCGTGCTTGTGTGACGCATGCGCAACGAAAGGGAGCCGCTCTACAATGCAGCTGGTAAACATGGCGTAGTCTGATGTAATCGAATAGCATTTACTCATAAACATATAATCATACAGTCATAAACAATGTAGCATGTTAACTCGTCATTAACAAGAATCGATTCTGAACCCTACATTTCTTGTCTAGAGGGAATTGGCATCACGAATAATGCCACGAAAGAACGACTTAATCTGATAAATACACTTGGATCTGACCATGTGATGCAGCAGGCTGCGGCTTGTGGATTATCTATCCTTGTGGTAGAACACACTCGGGGTCTTGCCCCAATCCGGACTTATGGTGTTTCTCTTATCCGCTCCCGTACCATAGGCATACAATAAAGGTTCTTTGAAGTCTTGAATAGTAACCGGAGTATCCGCACATGCCTTGACCTGGAGCTCGAGGTCAGTCTTGTCATAACCGATAGCAATGTAGTACTTGGACTTAGTCCCAGTCGAAGTAGGTCTGGAGAATGTCATTCCCTTGACATCAAGGTGGCAACCGACGACTGTAGCCTTGATATCGAAGGTCTGCTGCTGAGCATTGAAGATGAGGTTTCCGGATACAATTGGGTCGCTGCTGGTGTACATCCCATTAGGCAAAGGGACAGCCTTCAACGGAGGGGTCTCGATGGCGACCACGAAACTTCCGCAGAAGGATGCAAGGAGGATGGAAGCGAACCGCACCATAGTAGTGGAAGGCGATGGAGTTGACTGAAAACTGAAAAGGGCATCTGATGTTTGGCCTAGAAGCCAAACGTGGGTGAAACTTCCACATTGGAAGGGTTAGATAGAGAAGCCATTCATCAGAAGTGATAACATCGGAGGGAGGCGTCACGTGTACAGCGTATTAATG